ACATGTTCAAGATGCAAGCATTATGGGCATAATCGAAGGACTTGCCCAAATTCAATACCGCTAAGCCCGGAAAATTCAGATGATGACTGGTCTACGGGTCTAAGTGCCGCTAATAGTGATAGTTAAGTATTAAGGAGGAGTGGGATTTTCCATGTATGATATTTGCCGTTATTTGGAGTTCTTAACGAAATTATAATTTGTTTGCTTCAATTTTTACTTTTTAAAATGAAATCTAAAGATTTTACCTTCCTTTTTTTTTTTCTTTAAAAGTAAATGCAATCTTGCTTATTTGAGGTTTTTAGGTTTTATATATGGAGTTCTCCAGGTCTCTATGTTTTTGGCTTATGAATGTTAGAAAATCGATGCAATTCTACTGCAAAGAAATTGAGAATTAGGGTTTCAAAGAGGGCCAAACGTCCCCATAAAGCAGGTGAATGGCAGATAATTTGAGTGGTAAATTATGTCTAATATCCTTACGCAACGCAATGACCATTGTACCTTGACAGCCTTCGCAGCTTCAGCCAAACCTGTCATTGGCATTGAATCTTAAATTTTTTTTCATCGATAAATGTAAAATTTTATAGATCAAATTTCATTTACAAATACGGCATACCTGGGAAATCAAAAGTGAAGTAACCAATTTTATTTTTTTTCGTATGAGAGTCGTGGCGAGCCTTGGGTTGTGTTCATGAGAACTAGAACTGTGTTGATCTGCGACTGGTGATCCATTAAATTGAAGCAAACAACTGGAGACAGAACATAGGTAATGATGAGTTTTCTGTCATTATTGGTCTTTCAAATGCTCGATTATCCCTTGAAGAAAGTGTTTTGCTAACCAGACAGTTACACAATGTAGAGGTTAGAGAGAGAAGCTCTCAAACTCTAGTGAGAGAATGTGAGCTCATAGACTCGTGTTTGATTTCACCTTTACTAGGTAATTTAAAATATAGTATTGCAGATTTTGTTAAAACTGTCCAGATTCATGTGTTAGCTTTGAAGAACTTCAATTTTCTTGAAGGGTTATAGACCAGCCCGTTCAAAACAAGCAGTAGGTTCAAGCCCTGTCGGCACTTGGCCAGCTACTTGTTTTGATTCTTTAAAGTTCAACTGCCTGCTTCATTAAACTCCAAGCAGGCACCTCACCAACAGCTTGCTTGTTTTAATGCTAGTAGCAGCAGTATTGCAGCAATGTTGAGTGTTTTTATGCAGTATGTTATTGCCCAAATTGGCCAAAAAAAAAAATAATAATAAAAATAAAATAAAATTGGTGCTATCAGGCTTGGAGCCTCAATTTCGGCCAGAATGTTTTTTCAGTTGCCTTCGTCCCATTTGAAGGCTTGATATCAGCAACAAGTTATTTTGCATGGATTATGCAGTTTTTCTGAAGAGTTTTACCCAAGTTCTTGAAGCTTTTCCATCTTTAAAGATTCTTTGAAGTATTGAAGACAGTCCATAGGATTGGGTATATTGTTAGTGAAGTTTCCAAGCTGCCTGCTTTTTTAAGCTCCAGCAACACTTCTGGTCAGCATATTGTTGGTATTGTTTTACAATGTTCAAGATGTTTTCACATCCAAGTTCGTTGGATATTTTGAAGTCTATTTCATTTCTTGGAGGTTCAATCAGTCCAAAGAAATGCCCAGGTTTGTTGGAAGATTTATTCTCCTTGTTTCGGATAGTACCCTAACCCAAGTATAAATTCAAACCTGTTTTCCATTTTCAAATCTTGCCAACAGCTTTATGCTTCAATCCTTAGATTTTGACCAGCCCGAGGAAACTCCCAGATTTGCTTTGCAGGTTGTTAGAAGTTTTATTCTCTTTGTTTCAGATTGTACCTTGTCCTTGGTCTAATTTCGAAACCTGTTTTTCATCTTCAAATCCTTCCAACAGTTGTATGCTTCAACCTTTTTAAGTTTCCTTGAGTTAGATTAACTCTTGGTCTTTTGAAACCGTCCAGGTAAGATTTTAATGGCCTCTTGAAGATTCAAGGTGACAATTCATGAAGATTCAAGTACTAGCTCATAGATTCGTATTCATTCTTGGGAACAATTCTTCCATATTGATTCCCAAATAGAAAAAATGTTTCTGGCTGACCAAATATTTCCCAAACAAACCACCTGTAATATTTTTGCACCGTTGACTGTTTTTGCAGCAACATGTTTTCCTATTTTGGCATAAAATTCAAAATTTTTTGACCTTTTTGACCAAAATTTAAGCTCCAGCCTAGTTAGGTAGTGATTCAGTCCCACGCACACCCATATTTTCATCTAATCAGCAAGCAGCTTCCTGTCCAGTTGCTTTTATTTTTTTAATCAGGTAAATATATACCGGGCATACAAAATAATACATTACAAAGATCCAATGATCTTGTGATCCAAACCAAGTGATGAAATATAATTCAAAATATTACAAACTTGGCTAATATATCAAAACCCTCTTTAGAGGATAAGGAAGTAGTCATTGACTTTCAAACAAGCAGGCTGCTGGATATTAATGCATGCAGCTGGACGAACTCATATGATGCCATGAAGCTTTGCCTGGAATTCAAACATTGACTGCAAAATAGACAGCTGCAACGATACGTCATTTTCTGTTGCCATAATTCAAACAGCTGGACAGGCAGGCTACTTGAAAATTAATAAACTGTAATGACCAATGCTGCAGGCAAATCTTTAATGGCAGATAATTGCAACCATTGACCTGAACAAACAAAGCAGCTGGACAGCAAGCTGCTTGAAGAGAAAATGAAAATATGGTTGCGCATGGGACCGAATCACTGCCTAACCAGGCTGGAGCTTAAATTTTGGTCAAAAAGTTCCCAAAAAAATTGAATTTTATGCCAAAATAGGAAAACATGTAACTACAGAAATAGTCAATAGTGCAAAAATATTGCAGGTGGTTAGTCTGGGAAATATTTGAAATTTGATCAGCCAGAAACATTTTTTCAATTTGGGAATCAATATGAGAGAATTGTTCCCAAGAATGAATACGAATCCGTGAGCTAGAACTTGAATCTCCGAGAGTTCACACCTTAAATCTTCAAGAGGACTTTAAAACCTCATTTGGACGGTTTCAAAGACTAACTCAAGGAAACTTAAAAGATTGAAACGCACAACTTTTGGAAAGATTTGAAGATGAAAGACAGGTTTTGAAATTAGACCGGGGACAAGGTACAATCCGAAACAAGAGAATAAACCTTCTAACAACCTGCATAACAAATCTGGGAGTTTCCTTGGGCTGGTCGAAATCTAAGGATTGAAGCATAAAGCTGTTGGCAAGATTTGAAAATGAAAAACAGGTTTCGAATTATACTTGGGCCAAGGTACAATCTGAAATAAGTAGAATAAATCTTCCAACAAACTTGGGTATTTCTTTAGACTGATCGAACCTCCAAGAAATGCAATAGACTTCAAAACATCCAACCAAACTGGATGACAAAACATCTTGAATATTGTAAAACAATACCAACAATATGCTGGCCGGAAGTGCTGCTGAAGCTTAGAAAAGCAGGCAGCTCTGAAACTTCACTAACAATATACCCAGTCCTATGGACGGTCTTCAATACTTCAAGAAATATTTAAAGAAAGAAAAGCTCCAAGAATCTAGGTAAAACTCTGTAGAAAAACTGCATAATCCATGTAAAATAACTTGGTGCTAATATCAAGCCTTCAAATGTGATGAAGGCAACTTGAAAATCATTCTGGCCAAAATTGAGACTCCAAGCACGATATCACTAATTTCTGAATTTTTTGCCAATTTGGGCAATAAAATACTGCTTAAAAACAGTCAACGGTGCTACAATATTGCTGCCACGAGCATTAAAACAAGTTGGCTGCTGGTGAGGTGCTTGCTTGGAGAAACAAGCAGCTGGGCAACAGAGCTTGAATCTGCTTCTAGTTTTGAACGGACTGGTCTACAATTCTTTAAGAAAATTGGAGTTCTTCGAAGCTAACACATGAATCTGGACAGATTTTAACAAAATCTGCAATGCTATATTTATATTACCTAGTAAAGGTAAAATAAATCGAGTTTATGAGACAAATGCAAAAGGCAAACTCTGAGAGCTTCTCTCTCTAACCTCTACATTGTGACTAACTGAGAGCTCCAGCTGCTTTGTTTGTTCGAGTCGATGGTTGCAATTGTCTACCATTAAAGATTTGCCTGCAGCATAATTTTCAAGCAGCCTACTTGTCTAGATATTTGAATTATGGCAACAGCAAATGATGTTTCATTGTAGCCTGTCCATTTTGCAGTCGATGTTTGAATTCCAGTCAAAGGTTCATTATTAGCCAAGTTTGTAATATTTTGAATTATATTCCGTCATTTGGTTTGGATCACTAGATCATTGGATCTTTGTAATGTTTTACTTTGTAAGCCCAGAATAATTGTATCCAATTTTGATCAATAGAAATTTATTTACCTGATAAAAAAAAGTGTTCTGCTAACCAGACGATCGGTATGATGTTTAGTAAGTTCTAAAAGTCAAGCCTGTTTGTTGTCCTTGGTTTGAGGCTTTTTTGGACTAGAATATCTTGAACTACGGCAAGCCCCCATCTTTGGAGATCCCAAGTATCCATGCATACCTTCAAAGAGAAGCGGGATATGAAAATTGTCTCCAACTTATTTTAGTGGTAATCTGATTCAGGAGGATCCAAGTCGAGTGATGCTAATTTGTCAGAGCACGATGATGGCGCTGAGATACCATGAGATGGCGGATCGGCGCAAAAATGGAAAGTGAATCGCAATTATTTCTTTAATTGGGGGAATTTGACGCGTTTTTGGTAATTTGGCCATAACTTTGGCTATAGTTATCGGAATCGCTATTATGACCCCAATTCGGAAAGCTCTCTTCGGCGCGCACGTCGTGGCCAACGAGCATGGTGATGCTCGGTGGCCGTCAATTTCGAGTCCAAAATCCGCTGTTTTCCTTTCCAAAATTCAATTTTAAGTTGTTTTTTGCTATTTATGGTAATATTTCGTTTCCCTTTTTCCATATGTTAGAAACCTCAAAATGAGCCAAATTTTGGCAACCTACTTCTTTTACTTAATATTTTATTCTGGTATAATTTCGAGATTTTGCCATTTTTGGTAATTTTCCCATAATTTCGTATTTCGCATCTATTTAACACGGCTTGTGGGTTAATTTTGGTCATTCTGCATTATTCATAATATTGAGTTGATTTCAGAGTATTTTCTCTGGTTTTGGGGCATTTTCTGTCGTTCATTTCTTGCGAATCATCTGTTACAACAAGC